CTATTGACGTGCCTTTTAGATTTTTTCCACCTCAGGCCTCTTATTTCTACACTTTCCATTTTATGGATGATGTGTTAACTACTCGTTCAAACTTAAAACATGCGTGGCCACTTCATGAATAAATATAAAGAAGCCGTTCCCAATGGCTCTGCATCTAGCTACTAAAACTATCACCTGTAATGTAAGAATTAAATGTTGTTTGATTTTGAAGCCGAATATTGGACGACTGCGAGCCAGTTTCTAAATTTAAATTCTGTGTTCTCAATAAATAAGTTAATCCTGTTGTCAATCCTAGAATACAGATGGCTGCAGCCCTAGAATGCGTTATTCTAGATATTTTTTCAATACAAGATATTTTACATGCTAAATCTCTAAAAACAATCTGTGCGATAAAATTTAAACGATATCCATTTTTTAGAAAGAAAACTGAAGTCCCCAGTTGCTGGGCCTAATTTTGCTGACCTACCTAGTCCAAGAGTTCTACCTCCCAAGAGCGTTTTCACATAAAATCCATAACAATGTTGCTTATACTTCTGGTCATTAATGGGGAAGTTAATTGGATTGGATTTTATGCGTATTGATTCGAGTAATTACTTTTACAGATAGAATCGTAAGATTGGGCCCCTTTAAAAATTTTCTGATATAATGACTGCCTATACCAAAGGAAACATTGAGAGTTGTAAGTTGGTCATTAATAACGATTTTACCGAAAGTCAAGCATAACATTTCCGTTTTAAAAGTATGTAAATAACATTTTTTCAGCAATGACATAGTATCTCTGGCTTCGAAATTATCACCCGAAGAGCTATTTCGGAAAATATATGCAATTATTTTTCTTAGTGGGTTCCATAATCCATAAGCAAAATAATACTGTTATTATGCAGACATAAGTTAAAAAATATAACTTAGTACTCACTGCAGTGAGTGACAGAAAGCGCATTTTCTCGTCGACGAAAACATGAAGTCACGGACGGACAGACAGACGGACAGACAGACTGACGGACAGACGGACGGACGGACAGACGGACGAACGGACAGACGGACATGGCAAGCACAATAGTGCATTTTTTTCATAAATGAGAAAATGCGTTAAAAACAATAATATCAGACACACTTCAAATAGGTAGGTTGCTAACTACAGATACGAGTATAAGGACCTCCACCAGCTTGAGGGAAGTAACGAGGATGCGCACCTTGTTTCCATACTAAACACATGTCTTCACACTTTCTCCACCCATCATAAACCATAGATCTTCAATGCTATCCGTATTGTAAATTGAGTTACCATTATAGGACATTTTTTCCATTATCACAGTTTTATCAGAGTTTATAATATTCCAAACGCTTATACCAATTAAAATATTAAAATTTCCCTGTTGAGAGCTATATGTTCTCTCAAGCCTAATTCAAATCGATAGTTCACATGGTCTCGGAAAATGCCCAGTAATATTAAACCTTCAAGGTTATCTTCTTATTAGAATTACTGAATTGCTGCATGTGTAATGGAATTCAATAAGACGCCTTATTAAGTATGGCACTTACAGTGCTCTGACGCAAGATTCCGTTGGCTTTCAATTCGGGCGTTGATTTTAAATTCTATATGTTTATATCTGGACCCAATTTCTAAAATTCAATTTACACAAGGTAGCAACACTCTAAAACTTATCAATAACTGAAATATTTGGTAAACTCATCACTCTGATCCATGTTATATATGTTTATTTAAATGTTTAGATGACATTTGACGTTCCTCGTAGCCGTGTACCTACGCAAGTGTGGCGTGGCCACTGATCCCTGTAAGAACAACGGCTACTACGGACCTTCTTGCAAGTGTGAATGCCCGCCTGGAACTTCAGGAACTTATTGTGAAACCCTTACTCAAGGATACCTTCGTAAGTGTTATGCTATGAAAGCCGCAATGCAATGTTTTTTTTTATAAATAAACTGAATTTGGTGGTCACGCATGAAATGCGCATTCATTACTTCCATGCTCCAAAATTGGCACGTGATAAAAAAGAAGTTCAATATTCTCCTCTGAGTATGAATTTAGTTTCTGCGGCGTACACCGTTAGCATTGTGAAAATCGACTTTAAAAATAATAAACCGCGAATAAAAAACCTAATGACTCGAAATACATATAATGTAAAAGAATATTTTTCCCGCAACAGAAGCCCTGGTTTCGAGCACAAGGCCCCGCACTAGAACTATCACAACTGCAGGAACTGTCACTTCGACAGGCTATCCGTCTCCCGTCGCAGCCAGTAAGTCTAAAAAGTTAGCAAATTAAAAAAAATGAAAAATAACTAGTTGCTCAAAAATTTCATTCTTTTGGAGAATAATTAGATAAATATCGAAATTATTTACGAAATTGAACTTTTACTTGAAGTAAGCGTTCAGCAACTCACTACAGTAGTGTTGTCAATATAATTTGTTGCATATTCCACTTTATTTAATTGAAACCTAACATACATTTCAATTATTTAGGTCATTGAAGGTATTGGTTTGACCGATTAATCAGACATAAGTAAACCGTGTATTACATAGAAGGTAGCTATGAAATTGAAATTACAATATGAATGCAGTGTTTAATAAGGTACTTTTCTACTGGAGTGCGAGTTTATAAATAGCTTCATAAATTGAAAAATCAACAAATGATTCATGTATATTACTAACAGTGTGAAGAGAAATAGAATCGGAACGCTCTATATGGTTATATAATTAATGAGATGAGACCATACGAATTTTAAAACTGTTTATTAACACTTTTTTCTTTATATGAAAATGTTTTAATTATCACATACATGTCCCTATCAGTCGACGAGTACATACAAATGATAATAGCACCGGCGTGCAAGAAAGTTCGACTGACGTTCTCAGCTTTCAAGCTGTACCAACGCTACACCGACAACACCTGCCTCCCCCAACAACTAACGATCCGTAAAAACGTTGATCTCACCATTTCTTCAACGTGAGTTAATAAATTGTATTTTTCCTTCATACCATACATTTGCTGTTTCTTTTAGCACAAGGGCGAAATCTCATGCATCATATAAAATGTCATTTAATGTGGCTATAATTGTTGAACCCTGCCTTGACTTTTCAAGATGAGTTTTTGAATTTTTTAAAAACAGCTGTAAAATTGAGATCGAGATATAAAAGAGTTGTAAAATTTAATGCTTCAATCACAATTACTTAACAGAATTACGCAATGGTTGATGTTCTAGTTTTGAAATTTTTCTTTTCGACAAAACTGTTTCTATATAAAAGTCTCTGAATTCAGTAAACCTGCATTATAGTCGAGGTAGAGAGAAAGCAATGTAAAGAATTAGATAAAATACCCGTTCATTCGTACTTGATGATATATTCATATTCTAAAAGTTAAGAAGGTAATGGATACACAATAATATTATTGTAAAGCGTTTTTTACTGAATATTTTTGGCAATTTCGAAACAATATCGCCCAAGGCCTGAAGGTTAACTCGAGAAAAATTTAGTTGAGAGCTGAAATGTATTGTGTTTTTTTTTTCAACAGGTACTGTGCTAGTGAAATAGCCGTCAACCAAGTGTTTGAAAGCGAGGGAACCACAATGATTTTACACTTCAAGTCTCTCATAACCCTCCCGTACCCAGGCTACTCTGCCACCATCACCTTCGTGCCCCAAACAACGGCGGCTTGGTAAACGATTTGTTGGCATCTATGAATGATTATCAACATCTACTCGTTATTAGTTAACAATTACGTTAATTGGTGTATGACTACGTATATTATTACTTGTTTACAATATTTCACGTAATTATTATGACATGTCAAGATCGATTGCTATGGCTATGCGCAGCGGATTTATATGTATACCGGTGAGAAGTTAACAGTTGCGGAGTCGAAGTTTCGGTATCCGATGGAATTACACACGCTAAATTGAATAAACACTTTGCAGCATAAATTAAGTATTTGTAAAACATACCCCGACATTTTAGATTGATTCAAAACCTCTTTGAAACATCATCAACAATAGTTATTTATTCAAATACAACAGGTTGTTTAATCATTCGATATCAATAAATTTAAATGAAGCATCCATTTGAATCATATATTCCAATATTATAGAGTTTATAGCCATATTTCGAATGGTTCTTAAAATTTTAAAGCATGAAGCATGAATAAATGCTTTTTAAAAAGCTAAATATTTATATCAATGCGTCTCGTATGAGTAGGTTCATCAAATCAAAATCGGTATGGAATTTGTCATACCATCGAATATTTTACTGTTATCTTTAATTTATTATCACATACTGCACATGATGTATTCAATGAATGCAGTAACGTTGTATAACCCATATAATATTATCTCAACATTCCTTTCTTCGCAGTACCGGCCGGAAGTAAATGATGGAACCGTCAAAATCCGACTCCTCTTATCGTGCGGATGTTGAATTACACCTGCACGTCCCTGGCTGTAGTGTGCACACCAATACAGTTGACTTTTCATGCAAGAACTTGTTTTATTTCTTCCTATTATATATATAGGACGTCTGTCACTTCTAAGTGCATAAGGTCATTGACGTTCCGGACCCGTGTATAGTGTAACAGGTTGTGGGCCAACGGCTTTCGTGTTTGCATAGATACATTCTCACGTGGCACGGTCCTTGTGGCAAATTAATTATTAGACGAATGACATAATTAGAGACATTATTAGAATGAATAGTGAAACATTTCAAATGTAAAAGTAAAAAAGTATAATGATGAGACATTATTAAATGAACGCGTGATACTGTATATAATCACGTCGACGAAATAAGCTGATGATCAATGAGACTGGGTATATACATGGTGATATACCTGTACGGTCAAATCATGATAAATGAAAAATTAAGTGGAAGGTCTGCTGGGGCAGATGAAAACAAATTTGAAGCTGGAATAATTTCGAAAGCAACAACTAAATACAAAAACAAGTGAATTTATGCGATAGAGAAATATCAAAAACAACAACAACGAAAATACACAAGTGAAATCCATGACTATTAAAGCATTTATTGAAGCCCTAAACATATGACTGGAAGTATCTGCATGCGTCGAATTCGAATACAAGATCTAACGATCTCAGCTCACAATCCCGGCTTGTTGGCGAAATTATTCATGATCCATTTGATCTCACGCAAAAAGATCAATGTAGCTGAGAATTATTAAAACATGCATGCAACTGTTCAAAGACGTTGCGCAGGAATATACTTTATTATTAGTTTGTCAGCTTTTTTCAATGACCGCAAATGATTTCCATGTACTGACTCGGGACAGTATAACATGATAAAGGGAAAGCCTAAATTTTATAACGCGACAAATCAAATCGAAGTCTTGAGTAAAGGTCCTGACACTACGATAGTCTGCGCTACCAAAGCTGAACGACGAGTGCCGACTCAACGCCCGATGGAAATTATCAGAGAAAGACGCGAGAAAAACCCACAGAAAAGATAATATTAAAATGCGTGCTGCTTTCCTTACCTAACGAGTCCACTGCGTTCGCGCATCATGTGAATAATGGCCAAGAATGGCTATAAGCTAAGAAAAACATTTTTTTTTCTAAATATCTCGACAACTATTCGCTCAACCCTACTTTTTAAATTAAAATTCTCTGCATGCATATGGATACCTAAAAAAGTACCGATACCTAAAAAAAACTTTTGAACTAAAATAAGGAAAGTCACGTCCTTGTAGAAACACACAAAGGTTTTAGCCAAATACGAAGCTGGTTTTTCGTACTATAAACGCTGGAGTTTTACAAACAAACATCCACGCGCAAAAAAATTCAATGTTTAATACTAATGCAAGCGCTAGGAGTACTCGTATTTGTTAATATAACCAAACGAAACTATATAAGCTTCGATATCAAAATAGCGATAGTTTTTTTCTCTGATCGATAATGGTCTTCAATGATAAAATTGCCGAGTTTTAAATTATCAGTACTTAAAAATAACACTCTGAATGTAAAGTGGTCATATCCATCGCTAAACTTCATTCTTATTTCAAGTTACATATCTAAGAAAAATAGTTTTTTTGCAGGTGAATACACAACTCAGTATGTTTTGGTGGGCAAGCAGGGTGTCCAGATACTCACCTTCTACAACCACTGGGAGGACGGACGCTTTCGGTGCGATGCATGCTGGAAATAAATAAATACTTCACATGGATTAACATGATCCATCCCATAATAACGTACTACTAGCCTTCAACATTCCCGGGCTATCGCGTAATTAGCCGCAAACTACCAGACAGCACGTCTTTGAAAGTAGTGTAGGGATACTCTGGTATAGGCACTAAATTGCCTGCGCGCATCGGAATTTTGCATGGTATGTTGTTAACATCAATAAGCCTTCGGTATTGTTGCCCTGCATGAAGTCAGCCCCCGGTCGAAACTCGAACGCCGTGCGTCGGAGGCAACAGTCTATATAGTGGCTGAAGTGGGTGACTCGTCGGCGCCAGTTGGACCGGCGATTGGCTGATGTTACTTTTCTACTAATTATTCCAGCTTTAGTAATAATCCCAAGGTTGGTGTCTTAGAAGTACACCCAGCANTATTCTGTTCTAAAATACTGAAATTTGAACTCAGCTATTATGAGATGACATGGAAATTATTAAAATGAAGTTAGATTTGGTCTTCACGCTATAATTCTAAAATAAGTGAATAAATTTCAAGGTTTGAAAGGATGCAAAATGAATAGTAAGCGTTATTTATACTAATTGCCTTATAATTATTCCCTTTTGTCAGCGTTTCCCATTCATTTAAATAGATGATTGAATCATGCATAGCAAACCATATTAGGCTAAGTTTCAACGAGAACATGTCAATTATTTTCTGTTCTGTGCAGATTCTGTATTCTTATCTACGACTTTCGATGAATATTATTGAATTTTCTTAAAATTCATTTTCCCGGACATGAATTTCGACACGAATTAATATTTCCTTGCTGGGCAGACAGGCGAATAAATTATTTTTATTGTTAGTTTCTTCATTACTACCAATTTTCAGAAATTACTGCCAATAATACATAATCGAAAGAAAACTTATCATATTATGCTTAGATATTAACATTCAAATAATCTTAGTTACTTTTTGTGTTACCTGTGCATTTCACACAATGAATGACATTCTATAATCACCAATCTCGATGGCGCCAAAATGAACTGATCAATCATCAACGTCTCTGCCTGAAAACGTTTAACTGGAGACTTAAAATTATACTCTAAAAATTAAACTATACTTACAGTTTTACTTGGACCTGGAGTCCAACATACGAGCGCTGCGACAACTGCCGGATAAGCCAATACGAAGGAAACCAAACATTATTGGCAGGCTCTCTTCAGCAAATATTTTAGTAGTATTATAACGGCCGTCCACAGGTTCGCATTCCCTGAAAAAAAAGTCGAAATCCTTTAAAAGACCTAAATCACATTGAACATCCTTTCACAAAATATGGAAAACGTGATCGGTTCGCTTTCTTTGCATTCGATACAGCATACAGGCACGCAGTAAACTTATCTTCCGGGTTAATGGAATGCGCTACCACTGAGCCACAAAACGCCTCACTCAAGTCCACATTCATACTGATCTTTCTTCGCCACAACACCATGATCTCTAATTGGAAGCCCTGTGAACCATATTTACAGTTTTAGTTCTTAACAATTATGGTTTTACAACAGGCATACATTCAGTCAACGGGTAATAATTCCGAAAATAATATGACAGTTTTACTGAGGGCTTGTCAATATCAATATCTACAATATATGACAATGCGATAGAAATACCGGAAATGTTTATGAAAATGTGATAGGAATAACGAATTCAAGTTGGCTTGACTTCAGGGTAGCTCTGTTAAGTAACAGGAAGTCTAGACGAGGGATTCTTTAGTTTTTTAGTCTGTAATGAATTTGCCAATGACAATATAACAGGGATACCGACAACGAAAATGGTATTATAGGTAAGAATGGGAATTGGAGCTTACCACGAAATAGGCGTTTTGTTTATTAGGGTAGTTGGCTCTAAGTTGTGGTTCTCCTCTGAAGCCTTCCTCTTCAGGTCATAATTCTGACCAAGCGTGTACAAATTAAATGCAGTTTGCTTTATTAAATAAGTGATTGAATGAGCATGATCTGTTCTCCATATGGACTTGTAACTCACGTGAAGAACCGACTGAAAGTTTTACAGAGAATTACCTATTTAAAAATGAGTTTATTTAGAGAAAGTCTTCACCTTGGAAAACATTAATTTTTATGTAAATTTTACTTTGATGAAAAAGTCATCTTACGCTTCAGCACTATGAGCTAAATCCGATTCAGCATTTTTGTTGAACTATTTTCGATTTTTACCGTATTTTAGCATGCGCTTACATCACAAATTGTGAATGAATAGGTTAAGTAGAGAAGTTGGGATACAACACGTGTCGAATATTTTATTCTATTCCACTGCATTTAGATAGGGGAAATACACGGACGGCGACAGTAATTGAAATAATTAAATAAAAAAATTTAAACGATTTATTCCATTGCCATTCAGTTATCATCAACACGACAAATATATATCATTTTAGTATTATTAATATTTTAGTGATACATATCGCATTAGTTTCTACTAAAAAGTAGCTCACCGTTTTCTGAATAAGTCTCGTTAAATTCGTGAAAAAATATCCTTTTTCAGACTTATCAAACATGATCGCGAGAATCGCGCGCAGTTGCTTGTCGGCATTTCATTAAGGTAAGATATGAGCATAACGTAACATGATGTACTTGATATTGGAGTGGTGTACACTGTACAATTTCTATGACAACAATGAATTCGTGAGAAGCAACAGACAGAACGTTATCAGTACAGCGTATCACCTGGCTTTTGTAAGATACACTCAAGACAACCGTTCATTTCACCGCCTGCTGCTCCGAGTAAAGTAGCGTTAGGAACCACCTACTCGAGTGACTGAGAAACTCCAAACTATATTAATTGGTAGTAAGTTTAACAGCATGATTCCGATCAAGATCATGAGTCTGCTGCTGCTGGTGTTGAGTAAGTGTCGTATAGATAGAATTGATGTCAATCATATCAGTAGTATAAGAGATTAAATAACCATTTGTGTAACAACAGAAATTAGTGAGGGCCTTAAACAGAATGCCTGTAACCAAGAAGTGCAATATACAATTTATAATTGTCTCAGGTTAATTACCGTCTTTTCAAAGGAATCAGCAATATTTAAGGTCTTCGCATCGCACATAATATTATTAATATAGTAATATTAATATATAATAATAATATATTAATAATATTATTATAATATATATTATAATATAATATTAAGGTTCTCGCATCGCACATAAGTAAGGCGTATCACCAAAGGTTCATGAAGTAATTATTAGCTAACCTAAAGGGCATAATATATACGTAATGAATGCCATTTATTGTAAATAAGTGTCTTCAATAGGTTATGAGCATCCGCAATGCGTAATTACTGGTTATCATATGATTATGAGTATTGTCTAGGCTTCAGAGGCGATCATTGTAATAAAAAGTTTCAGCGTCACTAAAATTAACAACCTATTATTAACCTATGAGCATAGGTTCACTTAATGTTATTGGCAATCACCTATAGACAAAATTCCCCACCTGCATGCATGTAAGGAACATTTTTTAGGTGACGGACATCACAAATGGGTATATTCGTAGTGACCTGTATGGTAATGAGAGTCAATATTTGGTATGGCATAATTTTAATGAAACCATATTAGTTAATCAAGTGTTACATAAATATTGTTGCTCATTTTCAATGGACGATAACAAAATTCGTGAACGCGATAACATATCGAAATCACAGCCCATCTTTTAGTAAGGTAATAAACGTATGCTGCATGTACTTCTAGTCATTTTTATTTAATTTCAGGCAATATTCAGGCTAGATGCAAGTGAAGGCGTTAGGGCGTAACATACGAGTAGAAAGTTCTCCATTCCTCTATAGTCTATAGCTTTCACTATAGGTATGATTTCTTTTAATTTTAAGTGTGGAACAAAAAAGTTCAGGGTGTTAATTTACATAATGGTCTCGTCATCGTTATGATCAATTTTAGTTTTTCCGACATTATAAAATTCCACCTAATAAACCCAACACTTGTGTACGTGATGAAAAATATATAATTTAAACGATGTGTATTCAACACGGCAGGCACAGCGTCAGCCGAGTGTCCAGCAGGCTATGAAGTGGTCGGATTGACGTGCATTCATCGTTCTGAAGGAGGATATCTCACGCACACAGACGCGGCCACATACTGCCACCAAATGTTCGGCAGGCTACCCGTACTCTCCGATTGTGTTTCCTTCACTGATGTTGCCACCTATATCGACGATGGAGGTAAGATTATAAGGCAATGGATATATCCTATGTAATATACAGGAAAAATAGCCTTTCTGCGCTGCCGTCGTGAGACCAGTGGATTGTTGCCACGCAGATTAATGCATTCAGACTGAGAGAAGTGCTTCAGATATGATGTAAAAATTCGTTCAATCAGTGATGCCCCAGTAAACGACTTTCTTTCTAATTCTTTCCAAACGCTTAATATGAACTGAATTAAAGTGTGCCATGAACTTTTCATCCTGAGAGCAATAAAAGTTTAATAAAAAGAAATCGAAACATGGGCTTGTTGCTGACTACCAGGAGTGCACGATACGTGGTGAACGCTCTATGTTGTTATTTTTTTCAGTTTAATATGTATAAACTTGCTGCAGATGATGACGTTGCTGATTGTAGTCTTGCGTTGAAACTTATTTTAATTTGGCAAACTATTAATGCTGCCCGATTTATTCGGTCAGTGCTGGACATTAGATTGGGATCCTCCGAAGCAAAAAATTTGCAACTAAGTTTAGAAATGTAAGTATATTATTAGTATAGTTATATTATGTTATTAGTAAGTTTATTAACCATTGAATGATGTGCTTCATCAGGTTCATCAGACGCCATAAACGGTTACTGGTTAGGCGCTACCAACTTGACGACAAACGGCGTCTGGCAGTGGAGCGACGGTGTGGCTCTGCAGATGGGGGCACCGTACTGGGCAGCTGTGAGTGGAATTCACGTGATCAATACAAATCAAATAACGAAACATGATCAAGCATAGGGCAGTAACAAACAATAATTTGAAAGTAAGGTGGCATGTTTAGAGTCAACGACACAATGATGTGAAATGGAAACATACGTTGGCTTAAAACTAGACGAATTCTGATAAAAATAGGACACTTTCATAACAAACGGTAGATTGAGATGCAAATGAAAATAGGCAGAATTTTTTATTCCTGCCTCAGTTGAAAATGTTTGCAGTTTCAAACATTTGAAACTGAGGCAGACATTTTTTGAAAGCTAGACATGAAATGAATTGTTTGGTATGAAAATATTGCACGACACAATAAAATTTTTCAACGAACAATATTTTGGGTATGAAATGTTAGTCTTCTACTTACTATAATATCTAGGTAATTATACATCTTTTACATATCAGTTTTTATATAGGTATTTGCCCAAATCCATATATTGAGTTGGGTACGCAGTGCGTTCTCTTGATCCCGACTGCCTATGCATGGAGCTCTGCACGCACTCAGTGCGGGGTGACTGGAGGAGATTTGATAACGCTAGATGACTGCGACCAGTACCGAAAAGTTTATCTGTACCTCGCCGAAACAGGTAACTAATACTGATATAACCTTTTCCTTCTGTTATTAGTTAACATATATTCGAAGCCAAGTTTTTTCTGCAAGGATAATTTAAGCCTGGTTTTAAAAAGCTCTGGGTATCTCATCGTGTCATTTTGAGAAGTAACGCCGATCTGTGGTAGTGACACATTTTTTTTCGCTCATATGAATTGTCAGGTATTGGTTCTTATAGTTGGCTTTCGATCGCAATTATGATTCCATCAAATCTTTGTTCGCTCATCTAATTAATTAACTGATTCAAATGCCCCTACCATTCTCACTAGCAAAATTGCAGTGACATCAAATAGACCCAAATTTCAGAACTGTCGTCCTCAATCATGTGAATTGTATTTCTCTGTTTATATCAGATTACAAACCTCTTGGTTATTGGGTCGGCGCCTCAGATAGCGCCCTAGAGGGCCAATGGCGCTGGACTGACGGTTCACCGACGGCTATGGGGCTACCTCTCTGGGGAGTGGTGAGAAAATCACGTCCACTTAGTCTACTAAACTATATGTTCTGGATACTTTGAAAATTTTAGATGTTATATGTATTTGCCGTAAAAATATTTCAGGGTACAACGTCGCCTAGATACGCACAGCTCCGTTTGCCACTGCAAGGTAAAGGAAGAGACGGCCTCCGTCAGCTGATGCATGGCAGTTCATGTTGCCACACTCACCACTGATCCGATCATAGCTGGCAAATTTTTCTAGTCTGCCTTAATCGACTCTAACGTCAAATAGTCAACGAAACAGTAATAACTATGATAGTTATACATAAATTAGTGTCATTGTTGAAGATTAGGTCAAGTTTATCTTGTTGATTCCTAACATCACAGAATCCTCACTGTTTGCTGGATCTCGAATCCTGTCATATTTAGAAGGACAACTTGGTGATATCGTTAACAACAAGATTGAAGCAACTCTACTCCAATCTTGGTGATCTGAAGCACTCGGCCAAATTATGAAATATGAGTGGGTGGGACGACCATGCTTAATTATGTGTTTTGTAGCATCGCGCTTAAAAGAGCCGACGCGCGCATCGTTCGGGGACTCCCAGTTCGATATATTAATGACTGATGAATATGACTCAATTATCTCCTTCATTTTTGAATTTTTCCATCTTCTTAAGACGCATAATTTCATAATTTTCAGAATCTACCACCAATAATTTATTATATATAAAACAATTGAGTTTAAATCGACATGTATGTATGATTAGAGAATATATTTGGTTAAGGAAATTTCGGTTTATTGTTCCAAAAATTTGGTTTATTGTTCTAAACTGTGATGATGATGGATGTCGTCCTTTTATTCCTATTTGCATATAATCGTTGTACGATCTTTGCCCGCGCTATTTCTTGAAGGACGTTCGTCGATGATTGCAATATTCTCGAACGTGAGGCGAACTAAATTCTTCTCTGATGCGGTAATATACATACAATATATAAGATGAGACTTCACCGGAATACTGTCCCTTACACTTCACGTTATCGGTACACTGGAGAGTCTCCGCACGAGAACGACACTTCCTTACTTCCTTCCAGCACGCCGGCTGTTCAATACTGAGCTCCCGCTTCTGCTACTCCGCTTGTTTTATAGTCCGTTCGCTACCCGCGTGCGTGGGCGTCCCCTACCCGCTTTTGAATTTTAAACCGTCGGCTTCTATCCGTCTTCAACGGTTCTATAAATATTAACAATTTTGAGATACTAGGAATTGCTATACTAATCCTAGGCGGTTCGAGTAAAATTTATTCCTATGTAAATGTATGTAAAATTTATTCCTATTCCTATTCCTAATCATGTAGTACCAGCCAGGTTTTCCGAACGTACGTGAAGATGTAGATTTTAAGTCATCCAACACTTCATATAAGCTGAAATAGATAATATTCCCTATGTTCAACCAAGTATATGCTCTACAGACTGGAGTGGGGGAGCTAGAACCCGACAACCCCGGCTTAGAGAACTGCCTGGAGTTGAGTTCCCTGTGGAGGTATCGCTTCTCCAACACCTTCTGTGGCAACGTGCGACGCGTGATCTGCGAGACCAGCCCCCTGTAGAAGACTTACATGGACAAATGATGGGTCTAAATCTTCTGAAAAGTCTCAGAGCAAATAAAAAAAGACTCGAATTAGTCTACAGTCAAACATGCAGTTGAATCTGAATGAGAATAACAGATTTGTTTTCAAAGCTAATTTTAAGCAATTAAAAAAAGATTTTTGATATTTTATACAATCTCAATTAGGTTTCCAGTCTACAAGAATCGAATCAAACAAATGAAATTGGAGAAAAATTTCAAGTATTCATGTTTCTTACTTTATTTCAAAGGTATGAAATGAATTCAGATTTATGAAAGATTTATGTACAATTTATTCCACAGTAAATACTTTTCCTGGCACTGCCTCTATTCATTTACCTATATTCTGTATTTGTAAAACAAATTGCGTGTAATGTGTTTCACGCATGCAGTTGAAAATTTATTACTCTGATACATGGCAGTCAGTTACTGCATCGGAAAATAGTCCAATAAGTGAGCTATATGACATTCATGGAGGAAATGACAACTCTGAATAAAAGGTTTTGCAGTACAAACGCTTTTAAATCGATAACAATGTTGAATAATTGATGCTCCTCCTAAATATTGGAGAAAGGAAATAAGAATTCCATCAAAAATAAGAATATACACATAAAAAAAGTTGGTAATATTACTTTTACCTTAGATTTGGTAGTAAGTTACTCATTTTAACAATGAAGTAACAAGTTATTGCTTCACATATTTCTTTAGTGCTTGTCATTGCTTCATACATTTTTTAAGCCAGATTTTGTTGCTGATTACGATTTTTTCCAAAATTTTTGGGCATATTTTAATATGATGCCCATTTATTTTTCTGCCTGATTTATATATGTTAGTGTAGAGCATAGTAATGCATGATAGATTGGATACCATTATTGCATTAAACTCTTATTTCTTGCAACATTAAAGACATTCAGCGCTCCTTCAATTCCTGGTGATTCCTGGTATCACACCAGGAACCACCACCAGACACAAAATGATTCCTGGTATCCTATCGCAAAATAGATCTCAATGGAATACACGAACAAATTGGTATTTTCCTGCGAGCATTTGGATCCCAGAGGGATGTCCCTATATGGGGTGCGGCATGTTCCGTAAAGATGCTCTAATGGCATATAAAATAAGGCAAATCAGTAAACACAATGGCCGCGGTATTTGAACAAAATAATAAAAGTATTTGGAGGCACGAGCGACCAAAAAAATATTTTGATCTTCAACAACAAGAAAAACAAAGAAATATATTTTCTTATTAGATAGTACTGCTCATAATTATGGAGAAGGCTTCAGATGAACGGCTACCTATTTCTTGGCGTGTACCCTCCCACAAACAAACGACGAATTTTCATTGACCCACTAAAGATTCATCTGTTGGGAAAATCAAACTGCCGTCAAACCACCATTTCATTTCCGGGTGATTATTTGTTGTAACACGTACAGAGCCAGAGAAGAGCACTCCTCACCTCAGTTGCAACAGGGTTCAGCTGCTGTTTAAAATGTGTCTCCTTCAAAACTTCCCAAAAATATGGAGCGGCAAAAGTTCCCTCTACGAAATTTGAATAAATCTTGTAAAAACTTTCCAAAATCAAAATCAGGCGAAATAATCTTTCTTAAAAGGTTTAACAGAGCATTTTTTTTATAAAATAAAGCTACTGGTGCAGAAGACGCCAATTGCTGGTAAGATTTTCTTCCTTTAAAGGAGATGTAAATAAAATACTTAAAAAAAACTTTAAAAAAAACACGTTTTTCTTGTGGACTAAAAAGTAGAAAATAAATTATGGTTCGCCCCAAAAAAAACGTGTGTCGGGCAGATTTATGATTAAAGCGAAAAGCACACAACACTTAAATTTTGAAAATTTGATGGTGAAAAAGTGGGCTAATTTTCGTTGTCAATGTTAACAACAAACAAACAAACAAACAAATAAACAAACAAACAAACGCGAAGCTAAGCTAAGAAAAACGTGTTAAAAATAAAGCTTTCACCTCAGGGAGAGATTAATTTCTCACTTGATTATTCACTTCGCCCTGCGTAGAATCCCTGGCTGTTTCTAGTCGTCAAATGTGAATTCGACTTCAAAAAGAAGTTCAGCAGCAGTCGCTACTTTTACGGCATCCACATTGTCTAACAGCTAGGCCAGCGGCGGTAAAACTCGTGGGAAGCAGTCTAGAGGAACTGAGGTGGTGCAATTTTAATACCACCCAGTATACCAATACTTTTCGTATTATTTTTTATATCATTATATAAGAAGAAAATTCAACTAGCGTTGACCAGTTGTTAATAAAACTCAGTGATCTACTCCGTAATCATTTGTCTATTTATACAGGTGCGGTTCTGGTGCAGACGAATTTTTCCTCGCTATTATAAATTGTTTTCAATTAAACTTTACCTTTGTAAACACATTTTAGTAATGAATCATTTCACGGAACTTGCATGAAGGTCAATTCGTGTACTCGTGCATGTTTTGATAAAAAGTTCGATATATTCATACAAATACCGACTCCCCGTACAGAAAGCAAATATATACTCATATTGACTAAAGCTACTCATAACAGTGGCTTGAAGCCGGAAATATTCCGAACATAAGATACCAATCTTAAAAACTTCCGCACTGACATGCACACAATTAAAAAAATATCTTACGGATTCCCGTTTCATAGGTCGAACATAAAAGAATGCGTTCGTTCGTAATAATCCATATTATGGGACAAGCTTTAGAATGCTTCATAATAGTTTTTCTATCTTTGTTAAGTGCTCACCAAAATAAAAAACTTACTTTTCATAATTTTTACACTTATTTGTTCTTGGATACAGTGATTAAACCACCGAATTGGTTTAAGCAAAAATTTTCATTCATTTCCGCTGAATTTGAAAACATAACATCTCAAGATCTACAATTCTACGTACGAAGGAGGAAAACTCAGAAACTCATTTTGAAAACTAGGGTTGGGACAAAAATGAGATGTAATAAAAACCGGTTCTAAAACAACTTCATCGGTGTTTTGGATGCACTATATGAATTTAATGATATGAATAACTTTTGCCAATAGGAAGCTCCTGGGAGAGTAATGATAAGTTTTCTTATTGACGGAACACACCAGCTTTATGTTATGAAAATCAAATGATAAAAGTCACAAAGGCTATTATATATTTATTTTACACATGATATCATTCATTTATTGGGTTGAATCTGTTAACTGGCCATCATTTTTAAACTACTTACGGTTTTGTCCTGCTTTTGAGTGCAGTAATTTCTATTATGAGCGTTGTTAGGGAAATAAATAATTTGGCATTTTATGATTTAGTATTTTTTCAGTTATCAGTTTGCATATGCCGATGTTAGATCTATGGTTCCCATCCGATTTAGGCAGTGCTGTTTAGAACCCACAGTTTAAGGTGTTTTAACTTGATTTAAAGTTGATTATCTATGTTTTTCGCGTAGTGATTTTTTTAATTGAGCTTGTTATTTATCTTGTTATATTTTGAATGATTAAATTGATTTATCTAAGATTAATTTAGTCAAACACTGACTTATAATCTTTTAAATATTACTATAGGAAATTTATTTTTACTTCCTATAGGAGAGTTTAAAATTGAGGATACAAGAGTGTAGAGTAAACCCATTAATTTTTTATGACACGCCTTCGTGTTGGGGTACGCGAAAGAGTACCATAAACACGGCTTGTGAACTTGGTGACCCCACAAGCGTAACTTGCGTTGTCGATTAAGCACTTATCAGCATCTCTTCTAGTTCTCGGAAATGCCTGTGAACATTGCCGGCAGATGTTGTACTCCTAAGAGTTCTAGGAAATGTCTGAGAATGTTGCATCTAACTGTTTTGTCTAATTTCATAAATAAAGAGGTGACTATAACGTCACATGATGCTGTTATAGGGATCAAATTTCGCGTGGGTGTGAAGTACTTGTGGTACTTCATTTGCTCTTCCGAACACTTAATCTTCCTTAGCTCTTCAGGAAAACAAAGACGAAAACTTCTTACATCAATTTATTTCATGCCATCTTCCTAGTTGGTTGCTTTATATGTGCTATGTTTTATTGGTGTTTTACGTTACTTATTTAACTAATCAAATGCTCCAAGCACGTTTGCTCTTGCCGCCTGCAACAAGTACGACAAGTTTATAATTTTAGAGAAAAATGAAGTGCTAGGAGTTTTAAGAACGGACGGTTACGAATTAAGATATTTTATTGTATCAGTTATACTTGTAGCTAATAGAAACTAATTCAGAAATTGTTATTGACGGTCCATAACTTATTTTATGTGTAAAATATAAGCAGGAAAGCATGGCGTTGACCTGGATGGAAAATCTTTGCAATCTAATTATCCCGCTATGCTGAATCTCGTCATTCCAAATTTCATCATACGGAACCACGTCATCACGAATTCAGTTAACAATTTAGAACTTAATTACAGTATTTAAAAGAGAGGCCCGTTCGAGCCCACATTCATTCCAAAATTCCAAGGCATGTAATGAAATATGAAGGAAAGTTGTTTTAATTACGTGAATAAAATTGACATCTAACAATTTGAAAATAACTTTTATAACATAATAATAACTTTGGTAACTTTAAAATTTGGAATCGAATTCTTCCCCTCCCTTTTCAATGTCTCGGGATTCCACCGTTAACCAATAAAATTTCATTCTCTGGTACTATCCGAAATGATAAGTATCCTGGATGCACAGCTCACACCGCCCCTATGTACAATTTCCCTACACAATAAGTATCATAGATACGAACCCCAACAGCCCCTATACACAATATCTCGGCACGATAAGTATCCTGGATACGCGCTTCAACAGCCCCTATATACAATATCCCGGCACGATAAGTATTCTGGACACGCGCCCCAACAGCCCCTATATTTCAATATCCTGACACGATAAGTATCCTGGATACGCGCCCCAACAGCCCCTATATACAATATCCCGACACGATAAGCACGACACGATAAGTATCCTGGATACGCACCCCAAAAGCTTCTATATACAATATCCCGACACGATAAGTACCCTGGATACGCACCCCAACAGCCCCTATATAAAATATCCCGACACGATAAGTATCCTGGATACGTGCTCTAACAGCCCCTATATATAATATCCCGACACGATAAGTATCCTGCATACGCGCTCCAACAGCCCCTATGTACAATATCCCAGCATGACCATTGAAACAACCTGACATCACAGGTTGATATCAGGTTTCAGAGCTGATCAGCTAGCAATGAACCTCAGAAGTGACTAATCCTCGTTGGGACACAAGGCAACCAGAATTCAACTTTAAAACTATGTCATTATACGATCATTGCG